TGTTTGTTGATGAAACGTGACGATATTCCAGACGATGGTCCATATTGTTTTTATTTGAACGTTCATAAAAATTTTGAGATTCCTACCGGAGAGAAATTCCTCAAACTTGAAGAAAATGAATGCGTCCAAATAGATGGTGACTTTATAAATTGGACCTTTAACAAAGTACCATGTCCTAAAACATATCCAAAAGTTTGTCAACCAATTAATTCAAACTAAAATCCATTTCAATTATTTATTCATTTGTTCATTTTTATCATTTTTATTCAAAAAAAAAAATTATCCATTTATAAATTAAAAATGTAATTCTTTCTACGGTTGTTATAATAATAAATTGCTTTTTTATTAAAATCACAAGATTATGGATCTTCAAAAGTATAAAATTTCATCATAATACAAAAATTCATTATTCTGGCGTAAAAAAAAAAATCACAACTTTATAATATATGAAAAAATAAAGATATAGGGCCCTTTTGTTATTCTATGTTGATTGTATTGTCGTCATCTGGATGAAATACTTTGAATTGAAGGTGGTCTACGATCGGGCATCTAAAAAAAGGTCAAAAAAATAAATAAATACAATTATAAAATAAGAATCGTTTTATAAATACTGCGAAAAAAAAGACAAATTTTTTGTTGCTTCTATCAGACAGATGAGATGATTTGAGATGGTTCAGATGATTCACTTTTATACAATCTTTTTTTTCTCAAATTATTAATAATTCGTGTCGTACATCAATGAAGTTAATTTTATTCGAGTTGAATTACGTATTAAAAAAGTCGAGGGCGAGACATGACGTATCAAACTATATACAATTTATTTTTTATATAACTAGAAATGTCTATTTACAAACTTTTTTTTTAATTGATATAAAGTCAATTATTTTAACCTCAATTTACAAAGAAATTAGGTAATTTACGATTTTCTAAGTTAGTTTCTCCACGCTCAAATCCTTGTATTACTTCTGCCAATCATTATATACGTATCCATGTTAATTCTTTTTTGTTCCAAATATAATAGAGTGCCTATCAGTAAAATTTCTTGCAGGTCCTTGACTTACTCCAAGTATTCCTGCTATTCGCCATAATACAATAGCGACAATTGAATTTCGTCCAACGACTCGGGAAGGGCCCTCGGCCGAACAAGGAGAGGGAAGGTATTTTATAAATAGCAATTTATTTCCATGTAGGAGAGGCATCTGAGACAAAAACTGGATGCATTTCTAATCGAGTGGTGCGAAAAGTGGTACGAGTAACGCGAAAATGTCTCAAGAAAGAATTATAACCTCTCCATATACTAAAAATGGAAAACATCTGTACTTCTGTCCCAAAACTAATCAGTTTAAGATCTTGGTTGATGTTGCAATCTTGTATTAGGTTGGGAGAAAAATGAATGAAATAGTTGTGTGCATTGTGACATAATTAAAACTAAAATATGATTAGCATTGGTTATTCTTTGCATATGAACATTCAAATACTTTTTATTTTCTAGAGATTGCAACATCTATAATGTAATAAAATTGAGCGATTATATTTTTAGCCAATCAGTCATTTTTGAACCAATCAGATTATTTAATAAATCATTGATCGCAAGTACTCAATGTAATTGGATAAATATAAGTCTTTCAATCTATCAATTTTTTATTATATCACCTCTAAAAAAAAAAAAGAAACCGGCCCTAAATCTTTGGCTTCAGCTCGTGCTCCCCCACATTTACCAACTGAACATATTGCAGCAACAGCAATATCCTGTTACATAACTTTTAAAATGAAACAGTTCGTTATT